TTGGAAAATAATAAAGTTTAAGTAGGTTTCAGACGAAAACAAAGAAAGTGCGGTTGGTAGAAACAAAGAGCATAACTTTAAAGTGGCGCCCTACGACAAAGGTTGGTCAATAGAAGCAGAGTAGACGAGGCGATGCAAAGATGTCTGTTCCCTCTAGCGCCCCAGCAAGACTGACAAATGAGACGGAGGTGACAACGAGAGTTTCTCCTGGAGTCGAGGCCGACACAGAGTCAGATTTGATCACCGACAAAGAGTACCATTACATATTGATAGTGTTTATGAGTGTCTGGCTTTTTCTGGCAGTAGCGGGTATCATAACAAACTGCATCAACATCATCACATTTGTAAGGTATGTAAAAATGTGTACGAAAAGAAAGATTAAAGCGATGCTTTTGTTTATGTCTGTCTAATTTTAAGGGAAAAACATTGACAGAAGAAGAAAATAGACAAGAAGCTTGACGTTTTATCTCTGCTTTAGTTAACACCTAATAAACATGAGGCGCTTATTTATTAATTACAAGCAACTCACACGTGCTTAATTAGGCAGTCTTTAGAATTTATAACACAACGTATTTAAAACTAAATACAGACAGTATTACAACACGTCGTGTTCACCTACGTCAGATATTCTGTCATAATTATTTTCTACTCATGTTTGTGTTTACGATGTGCAAGTCTACCTCTATTTAGATATAAAGGCGCCCGGTTACTATGTTTCAGTGATGTCTTCGCCGCTTACTCTGGCGAAATGCATTCCGAATCAAATTTGATTTTTTTCTTCCAGGATGGGTCTGGAAGATAGCGTGACCGTCTCTTTCTGCGCGCTGTCAGGTTCGGATCTCTTAGCATCGACGATCGGCGTGTTTCACGCTACCACGGCCGTCCTCCGCGTGATACAGAAGGAACAGAACATGCTCTTCCGCATGGACCCCTTTGCCTTTGCCGTGTTCTGCGCTCACTACAGACGCATGTGCTACGACATGAGTGTGCTCACCACCACCTTTCTGGCAGTACAGAGATGTTGCTGCGTCGCCATGCCGCTCCACTTCAAGGGTGTCTTCACGCGGCGGAGAACCATATTCACCCTTATCTCTGTGGTGATCTTCTCTGTAGCGTGTTACTTTCCCATGTTTGTGACTCACGGTCTAACTCTTCGGACCGACCCCATCACAAACACGAGCAGGTATTTGTTGTGGATGTCTGAGAACAGAGAAGACGTGCTTCCCATCACTGAGGTCATTACTGCCATTATCTTACCCACATCCACGCAGATCATTGTTGTGTTTTGCCTTGTTGTCATGGTGATTTGTCTAAACAGGTCCTCAAGATTCAGAGAAAAGCTATCCACGACATCATTTGAAGTCAACACCAGGACACAGACAGATATCCCAACCAAAACCTTGGACCATTCCGAAAAAAAGTTGACCGCCAAATCTGAACACATCTCTTCAAATTCTGTCTCCAAAGAAAGGCAGGTTATCAAGGCTGTGGCGGTAGTTTCCTTAGTCTTTGTTGTCTGTAACACTCCTAAAATTGTCACAGCAAACACCAGGCAATTTCTACCTGCGTTTGACGTTGCAGGAAAATTGTTTAATGTTTATCTTGTTGGGAACTGTATTCGACTAACATCTGAACTTTTCAACAGCGCAGTGAATTTAATTATATATTATACGTACAACAGTAAATACAGAAAACACTGTCTCACTATTTTGTCATGCAAACATAAAATCTAGTCTAGGATATTTATCAGACTTTTCAACCAAATTTGTATTGGACTATCGAACTTATATTTGATTAAAAGTCATTGTCTCATCCTATTTTCTCTTTTTTCTTCTTCTTCTATCCCGTGGTTGGCACCACTGTATCTGAAGAAAACCAGCTCTCGCCATCTATTTTTGTCCTCTGCTTTCCTCAGATTGTCACCCATCGTCTTTCCTGTCCACCCTGTAAGGTTGTCCTCCCTTCTGCTTCTTTGCCTTCCTCTCTTTCTCTTTCCTTGTACGTTTTCTTGCAGGATTGTTTTGGCAAGTCCTGTGGATCTTGTTATATGCCCATACCATTTTAATTTTCGTGTCTTCACTGTGATCAGTGAATCTTCAAGCTGCCCAACTGCGTTGGTGATTCTCTTTCGTACCTCTTTGTACAAGATGTCAAGGAGTCTGCGGAGTCTCATCTCTGTGGTCTGAATCTTTTTCTCTAATTCTGCTGTCAGTGTCCACGACTCGCAGGCGTATAAAAATATTGAGATGACCAGTGAGCGCATTAGTGATTTTTGAGTTGTGCGTGACGTTTCTGTCCCTCCAAATAGGCTTCAGTTTTGACAGCGCAGCTGTTGTTTGCGCGATTCTGGAGAGAATTTCTGGTCTTGAGCCTTCATCTGAGACGATTGATCCAAGGTATTTGAAGCTGTTGACGGTCTCAAGTTTCTCGCCCCTGACTTTGATGTCCGCGTTGATGCCATGGGTGTTATTGGTCATTAGCTTGGTTTTTTCGGCACTGA